AAAATTCAGCTAAAGGGAATGAGATTTGAGACGATAGAAGAGATTGAGGCAGAATCGCAGATGGTGCTTGACAGGCTGACAAAGAAAGATTTCCAGGGATGCTTCCAGGCTTGGCAGCGGCGCTGGGATCGTTGTGTTCACTCCCAGGGGAACTACTTCGAGGGTGATGGATGAATTTAATACCTGAGATAAGTGTACGGGTTTTTATAGGCGCAGTCTTGAAACTTTCCGATCGCACCTCGTATAAGCTAGCACAAAGATATGAAGTTGTTAACTTTTCTTCAGCGTTATCTGTTTTTTATTGTGAATAAGCAGGACTATGTTCAATAACGTTGATAACAATGTCCGAGTAAGTCTAAAAGTAATATCTCTGCAAGTACCTGAGATAATGAGGCATGAATGGTCTTCTGTCAGATGTCAGTAGACACGAGACTCCTCAATTCTGGCATGTTTAGTTGTTTATCACATACTTCACTCACTACTACTGCAAGCTTTGCACAGAATAGCAATCGAGATTTCTGTCATACACAGCCTTTACTCCATTTGTCGTGCTGTGTTATCTTTCTAGAAATAATCTTTAGTCGTTACCATGGCGAATGACGTGTGCATCATTTTCGTTATAATTTATTTAACTTGGTACTGAAATTGACTGCATAAAGCGCAGATCTTCAATTTGAGTTCTTCACCAAATAGTTAAACCAATAGGGTAATCAAACCACGGACGATGAGATGGACGGGTCATGTGTTACGCAAAGGAAGTATGACACATGCTTACAAAGTTGTAGTCAGAAAATCTGACACAGCAACAGACAATTCTTGTGAGCCTAAACTTAATTGGAAGGATAATATTAAAATGGGTCTTTAAGAAACGGGGTGGGATTGTTTGGTATGAATTCATGTGGCGGGCTATTCATATTATTTTTTATTTTAGATCGCATCTTAAACGGGTTTATATTGTTGAAACAAGTCTTATACTTGTTTTCACACTGCTTATTCTGAGTTTTATCAACGAAGATAGGATTCTGTTTTAAAAACGTTTTACTATAGGCTACAGCTGTTACATTATGATCGCTGCCTACATACATATTACCTGGAGTAATTCGTAAAGTACAATTCATAGAGCTGAGTGCAGCTTAAAATATTGATTATTTTAAACAAAAGATAAATGTTTAGCATGAAAATGTTAAAAACTTACACTAAATACATTGGTATATAGCAGACTATATAAGTACAATAAACCCTCAAAAGATCGAGTCCCCAATAAACTATAGAAATTTACCAACAGAATAAAATACATGTGTATTTATTTATCTTTTTAATGCTACTTTAAATATCTCGTTTCAATCTGAAATAACAGTAGGAGGTAGACTGTTGAAGATTTTGATGCGAGTATAGTGAACAGACTTTTGTAAAAATGAAATATTGTCAGAAGGTCAGTGAAGATCGTTCTGATTCCTTGTGTTAACACCGTGTTTTGACGAATCTGTCCGAAAAAGTTTCAAGTTATTTAAGCTGAGGGTCACTAATGAAAATATGTTTACAAGAAAGGTACTTTTTTTTTATTTCTTAAACAGGCTTCTACACGAATTTGTTTGTTTGGCCCTAGCCATAATTCTGATGTTAATTTTCGTATTTTCTTACAGATCAAGAATCTCTCAGAAATGTCCGTTTTGGGCACCGCCAATCATATGCACCAGTGTTATCAGTCTGAGATAACCTCCTTCATAAGGTCACGCAGGTCACGCTATCCATGACATTGACTATCCTGACAGGATTTTCAATATTTTAATCATTTTCATCGTTATTTTCAAGCGAATGCCAGGGTTCTGAAAAATATTAATATACGCTAAATGTACTGTTGTTTTTCCGTACAAATACTAATTCTCGTTGATGTAAGCGTGCTGTTAGTTTTGAGTTAAAATTAAAATTAAATCCGTGGCGTAACAGCTCCAGAGAGCCAAAGCCGACTAGCTTGACTGCTGGTCTCACGTTCACATGCCTAAGCAGAGGTAAACGATCATCTGACCAGATCTAGGGTGACGTGTGGTCAGCACGACAAACCCCCAGCCATTGCTAGTTGTCCTGACCGGATTACGCTACTCATTGTAGCTCCCCAATTTCCTCACGATGCTGGGTTGGCACTGGTCCCATACACTGGTCGAAAGCTCATGAGAAAATTTCTTCTCCCCCGAGAATCGAACCAGCGCGCATTCCGTATCGCCGGTCCAAAGCATGATACCTCAGACCACACGGCGCGGGACGTTAGTTTCCCGTTACCATTTTGAAACCAAGAGTTTGCCGTATCGCTTCTAGATGGCAGCACCATGTTCATTGAAATAGTTCTACTCACTTAAATCTTTCCCGCCAGTTGGCGCTGTTACTCTGTGCGTCTGCCGAGAGTGAAAGAGAAATAGTGCATATATTGGGTTGTGTTAGGGAGAGATATTTTATTATTTTATGCATGTGTTTTTTATAATACAAATTAAAAGAGATGTGCGTGGTGTGTGCATATATTTTATGTAAAATATGACAGTGTACGAAAGACGTGGTTTGGTGGGTGTCGTATTTGAAGTAAGCTGAATAGTCTAAGCTACTTTATTTCATTGTTTTGCTCCACACATGTTCACATATGTGTGCATTAATATAGTTTTTGTGTGTAATCTAAGAGGAAAGGCGTGCGAATGTGTTCATTGTAGTGTTACTTCCTTCGCACCGTCTTATCTCGTCACAGGTATACTCTTGGAGAGGTTTAAGGTTAGGTTATCTGTGTAGATACTGTCATTGATGTTCTGACTATTACAGGCCTTTTATTTGAAGAGATTAAAATTCTGAAGTATTGTATTCTGACTCATCCAGGGTCAGTACGTGTATAGGAGATTTTAACATGTAAATAATATGTTTGGAGATAAATATTTTTGCACACAAGATTTTTGTTTATAAAAATACATAAAATTTATAACATGGTTGTCATTTGGGTTGTAGTACTGTGTAGTCTGGTAGACGTTTACCAACGTTTCAGTGGTTCTTGCTGCCTCCATTAACAGGTGATGAGTGTCTCTGAAACACTGGTAAACTTCTACCAGACTATACAGTGCTACAACCCAACTTACAGCTATCTTCATACCCACTGCTGTGAGAACCTGATATCCTACATAAAATTGACGGTTGAATTAAAGGTTTTTAAATTTTGTAAATAACTTTAATTATGTATGCAAATTAA